CCATTTAGTATGGAGAGACAAACGTATACTTTAAGAGTTAATAAAGAGCTTTTTTCTCAAATTTAATGATATATAACTTCTAAAAGGCAGAAAAATGCGCATTGCGCGTTGATGTATTCGATTTCTTGAAGCTTTCTGGTTCAAGCTTTTTCAAAGCGGTTACTTGATGCCTTTAGTATAGAGACGAATATGTTTTTTGAGAGTTAAAAAACAAACTTTAACGAAACATAACTCCAAAAAGCTCAATAACACGCACTGCAAAAGAGCAAAATTTTCAGACCGAATACTTGATCCGTTTATTATTGAAAGACGAATAACTACGTTTTTTGATAGTTGAAAAACAGCCTTCATCTCAAATTTAACGAGACATAACTCCAGAAAGCTCAATAATCCGCATTGCTCTTTGAAGCGTTCGATGTTTTGAAGCTTTCTAGTTCAGTGAGCAAATTGCCAAACCAGACACTTGATCCATTTAGTATGAAGCGACAAACGTATACTTTGAGCGTTAATAAAGAAATTTTTTCTCAAATTTAATTATTAATAACTTCCAAAAGGCAGAAATGCGCACTGGGGTTTGAAAGATTCGATGCTTTCAAGCTTTCTGATTCGATGAACAAATTTTCAAACTGGATACTTGAACCGTTTTGTATGGAAGCGAATATGTTGTTTGAGAGTTAAAAAACAAACTTTAACGAGACATAACTCCGAGAAACTCAAGATCGCGCATTGCGGTTTGAATCATTCGATTCCTTGAAGCTTTATAGATCAATACGCAAATTTTCAGACTGGAGACTTGATTCGTTTAGTATTTAGAGACGAATTTGTTTTTTGAGAGTTAAACAACGGCCTTTTTCTGAAATTTAAGGGGACATAACTCCAGAAAGCTCAATAATGCGCATTGCGGCTTGAAGCTTCGATGCCTTGAAGCTTTCTAATTCAATGAGCAAATTTTCAAACCTGATGCTTGATCCCTTTAATATGGAGAGACAAATGTGTAATTTGAGAGTTAAGAAAGAGCTTTTTTTCTCGAATTTAATAATACATAACTTCCAAAAGACACAAAAATGCGCATTGTGGTTTGACGCATCTGACTCATTGAAGCTTTCTGATTCCGTGAGCAAATTTTCAAACCGGATACTTGGCGCGTTTAATATGGATATGAATATGTTATTTGAGAGTTAAAAAACAAATTTTAAGGAGATATAACTCCGAGAAGCATAAGAACGCGTATTGAGATTTGAAGCATTCGATTTCTTGAAGCTTTTTAGTTCAATGAGCAAATTTTCAGATCGGATACTTGATCCAATTAGTATAGACAGAAGAATTTGTTCTTTGAGAGTTAAAAACAGCCTTTTCTCAAATTTAACAAGACATAACTCTAGAAAGCTCAATAATGCGCACTGGGGTTTGAAGCTTTCAAGTTCAATGAGCAAATTTTCAAACTAGATACTTGATATGGTTAATATGCAGAGACAAATGTATAATTTGAGAGTTAGGAAAGAGTTTTTTCTCAAATTTAACTATACATAACTTCAAGAAGGCAAAGGCATGGTGCATTCCGGTTTGAAACATTCGATTCCTTGAAGCTTTCTAGTTCAATGAGAAAATTTTTAGATCAGATACTTGATCCATTAGTATTGAGAGACGAGCTTGTTTTTGGGAGTTAAAAATCAGCCTTTTTCTCAAATTTAACGGGACATAACTACAGAAAGCTCAATAATGCGCACTGCGGGTTGAAGCTTTCGATTGCTTGAAGCTTTCTAGTCAGATGAGCAAGTTTTCAAATCGAATACTTGATCCGTTTAGTATAGAGAGATGAATGTGTCATTTGAGAGTTAAGAAAGAGCTTTTTTCTCAAATTTAACTATACATAACTTCAAAAAGACACAAAAATGCAGTTTGAAGCATTCGATTCGTTGAAGAAGAGCAATTGTTCAAATGGGATACTTGATGCGTTTAGTATGGAGACGAATATCTTGTTTAAGAGTTAAAAAACAAATTTTAAGGAGACATAACTTCGAAAAGCTCAAGAACGCCCATTGCGGTTTGGAGCATTCGATTCCTTGACGCGTTCTAGTTCAATAAGCAAATTTTCAGACCGGATACTTGACCCGTTTAGTATTGAGGAATGAATTTGGCTTTTGAGAGTTACAAGACGACTTTTTTTCAAATTTAACGAGACATAACTCCATAAAGCTCAATAATGCGCATTGCGGTTTGAAGCATTCGATGTCTTGAAGCTTTCTAGTTCAATGAGCAAGTTTTAAAACTAGATACCTAATCCGTTTAATATGGAGAAACAAATGTGTAATTTGAAAGTTAAGAAAGAGCTTTTTTTCTCGAGTTTAACAATACATTACTTCCAAAAGACACAAAAATGCTCAATTTGGTTTGGCGCATCCGATTCCTTGAAGCTCTCTAGTTCAATGACCAAATTTTCAGACCGGATACTTGATCCGTTTAGTATTGAGCGACCAATTTCTTTTTTGTGAGTTAAAAACATACTGTTTCTCAAATTTAACGAAACATAAATCCAGAAAACTCAATAATGCGCATTGCCAGTTGAAGAATTCGATGCTTTGAAGCTTTCCAGTTCAGTGAGCAAATTTCCAAACCAGATACTTGATCAGTTTAGATTCTAGGCACAAATGCGTAATTTAAGAGTTAATAAAGAGCTTTTTTCTCAAATTTAACGATATATAACTTCCAAAAGGCAGAAAAATGCTCATTGCTCATTGGCGCATTCATTTTCTTGAAGCTTTCTTTTTCGATGAACAAATTTTCAAAGCGGATACTTGACGCCTTTAGTATAGAGACGAATATGTTGTTTGAGAGTTAAAAAACAAATTTTGACGAGACATAACTCCGAAAAACTTAAGTACACGCATTGCGGTTTGAAGCATTCAATTCCTCGAAGCTTTCTAGCTCAATGAGCAAATTTTCAGACCGAATACTTGATCCGTTTATTATTAAAAGACGAATATATTTCTGATCGTTGAAACACAGCCTTTATCTCAAATTTAACGAGACATAACTTTCAAAAGACACAAAAATGCACGTTGTGGTTTGAAGTATCCGATTCCTTGAAGCTTTCTGGTTTTATGAGCAAATTTTCAGACCGGATACTCGATTTGTTTACTATGGGGAGACGAATATGTCATTTGAGAGTTAAAAAAAACAGCCTTTTTCTCAAATTTAACCATACAAAACTCCAAAATACTCCAAGAATTCCGGTTTGAAGCATTCGTTGAAGCTTTCTGGTTCTAGAAGCACATTTCCTGATCGATCTGATTCTCAATGCTTTTAGTATTGAGGGACAAATATTTAAGTAAATGTAATTTTTGAGTAAATAAGCAGGTCAGTGTATCAACTTTGGATTATTTTTCGTTATGTACGTATCATTTGTACCCAGGTACGATTTCTCTCATAAATTTTGGCCACCCAGGTTTTCCGAAATTGCGTCAAATAAGTCTTTGGCAAAATAAATAAATATTTGCGAGATTAGTCAGGTTTGAGATTAACGACACGCGCTTTGTTTCGATTCAGTTCGGCGAAATGTACTGTTACGTTGATCTATGAATAAAATCGGCGTAGGTAAAACAAAAAAAAACATTGTATTTCTTACTAACTGGACTCTCTTGACTCAACTTGACTGGACTCTCTTGACTCAACTGGCTGAATAATAATAATCGTTCCTGAACATGGCCTCTATTTAAACCCGTACTACTGCGATCGAGGTCTTTCTCGAATACCGACGTCACTGCCGTACGTACTAGAAAGCTCTCGACAGCCCACAGGCGTCGTACCGGGGTAGCGTATGGGTTTCTTTCGTAACAGTATGTTCCAAATTTTTTCGTGATTTTTAAGTCGACTTCACCTAAAGCTCAATTTTCAAATAAATTTGAAGTCGAGTATAAATGCAATTAGTTGGACAACCAGTGGCCATAACGAGTTTGGATTACCAACACAATTTTTTCCAAAATTTTTGATCACCTATTTCTCTAAACTTTCGCTAAACGAGTCCTCAAGTAGAATCATTTTATCATAGGTCCAAGTTAAATTAACTTAATCAGTTTGTTGAAAAGAATGCACAGAAATTTGTTGATTGTCAAATTACCATTTTCTTGGTAATCTTCAAATACCTACAAAGTTTCAAAGTAATCGCTTCACTGAAACAAGAAACTTGCATTTTTATATTTTAAAAGTTTGAAACTCCTGAAAAAATTAACATGAGAGATTCATTACAGTGGCTCTAGTTATCTATTCCCCTAGAAATAAAACCAGAAAATTTTTAATTTGTTTCGTTGACCAGACCGTGACGCCTCAAATACAAAGTAGATACTTTGTTCTGCGTTTCTCAAGAAGTTTGTGAATGAGTTCTGCAATGTAATTGATTTTTTGTGCTCTTCAATCATCGCAAGTAATTTAACTCCGTTTTTTTGTAGATTTCGAGACATGGTTTTTGCTGTAATTTAGTTTTTTTAAGACTTGTAAAAAAATAAAAACGACAAAAAACCCCGACTGATCTGCGATAGCAGAGAAAAGTTATAATTTGTTATTTATTAATACATTAGGGAATAAAAACCCATTCGAGAAACGCAATTGTCGTAGTTTCAACTTATTTCCACAGCGGAAACTTTCATTTTCAAAAAAATTAATTAGAAAAATTAAAAAAAGTGATATGTAGGTATGATATGACGATATTCTTTGCGTCAGGACACTTTTGGTCTATCCTTCGATTATATCCGTTCGATTTTCCGCCAGAAACTGCATTTCCGTCGCAAATAGAATAAATAACCCGCTCAAACTCCGCGTTAAGTTTTTCCATTTTATGGAAGTGTGCAATAAAACACATCAATATCAATACAACATCCGCAATAATTTCATCTCCGCAATATCGCATCGAAATTCAGTTTCTGCATGAGCGGTATGCACGAAAGAATGTCAAAGTTCTCTCGAGATTTGTTCAATTCTAGGTTAAGTGGTTATTGTTGTTGCAGGTGACGGGCATAGTGGGCAGAGCAGACGTTTTGGCTTGCGTCTTCTTCCTGGTATCGCTGCTGGCGTATCACGGGTAATAACACTTCTCTATATTGCCTCACGTGTCTCTCTCTTTCGACGGCGAGTCGCACAAAAAGAATGTTTATTACATTCGGAGGAATTTTCCGATTTTGCTGTTGAATGAGAGATTCTTGGTTTATTTTTTAATTGTGGCACGGCACACAGTAAAATTGCGTTTTGTTGCTGCGGCGCAGAAGAGGGACGTACCTTTCCGGGAGCGCTTTTATTATTATCGTTCGATGAATGCAGCGGTGCATCTACGAAGTTCTTTATTGAAACGTGTTCGCTCTTCATAAAGATTATATCGAAACGGCTTGGGAAATACTGGCGCCGTTCGGAGAAGATACAATGAACAGCTTCTTGGGAAGATAGAGCTCGTTGGGAGGTTTTAGCGCTTTCAATTGTTGCGCGAACAGCCATGCATGAAGGCGGTGGCTGCTTTTTGCCGGGGATTTAAACTACCTACCTGTTCTGGGGGTGGAAACTAGGTTACTTGTTTATTTTAATTGGTGCGGGGAAATTGTGACGCTAACTAGGCAATGATAAATTTATTCGAACGAAAAAGCTCCCATTTGTATCCCTCACGCACTTGAATAAGACGACAGGAATTGTTTTAATTAAATATGTAAGTAACGTTAACGAAAGTGTAACAAAAAAAATATTACCGAAGCGTTTGCACAAAATACGTGTATACGTCTTCAATTAATCCCCTTCTTTGAAAAACTATAAAAAATTTTGGCATTTTTGTTTTCTGATAACCTCTACAAATTAAAAACCAGTGGCGTAAATAATACTTTTTTGAGTTAAATTTTTCAATTCTTCAATTGTTCATTGTTTTGATTCTCCAGTTTTTCGATTTACGATTTTTCGTTTCTTCAATTTTTCGATTGTGCCTTTCATTTTTTTGTTTCTTCAATTATTAGATTTTGAAAATTTTTCGTTTTAAAATATTTCGAGTTTTCAATCTCTCATTTTCAATTTTTGGATTCTTTAATTTTTCCTTTCTTCAAATTTTCGATTTGCAATTTTTCGTTAGATTTTTTATTTTCTTTATTCTTACAATTTTTTAAATGTTCAATGGTTTCGATTATATAATTTTTTGTATTTCCAAATTCAAGCGCTTCAATTTTTCGTTACTTCAGTTTTTCATTTTTTTGTTTGTTTCTTCAGTTTTTCTATTTGCAGTTTTTCGTTTTAAAATTTGTGGCGTTAAAATTTTTCAGTTTTTCAATTTTCCAACTTCAGGAATTTTTCAATTTTTAGGATTTGTAGTTTTCCGACTTGAGTTTTTGGTTTCATTTTTTTTTGTTTCTTCAGTTTTTAGATTATGCAATATGTCGTTCTATGATTTCTCGAATTCTGAATATCTCATTTTTCAATTTTTAGATTTTTTAATTTTTCAGTTCTTCATATTTTCGATTTGCAATATCACAAGTTTCCAATTTTTAATTTTTCGATTTTTGGATTTTTCAGTTTTTCATATTTCTTCAATACATATTTTTATTTTTTCAACTTTTCGGTTTTTCGCTCTTCTGATTTTATAATTTTTTTTTTTTCAATGTGATTTTTTTTGATTTTTTGATTTTTGAAGTTTTCGGTTTTTAATTTTTCGATTTTTCAGCTTTTAGATTCTTTAATTTTCGATTTTTCAAGATTAAATATTCCAATTTTGAAATTTTTCGTTTGTTTTAAAATATTTCGATGTTTCAATGTCTCATTTTTCAGTTTTTATATTCTTTAATGTTTCATTTCTTCAAATTTTCGATTTGCAAGTCTTCGTTTAGATTTTTTATTTTCTTTATTTTTACAAATTTAAAATGTTCAGTGTCTTCGATTATATAATTTTTTGTTTTTCCAAATTCAAGTTTTTCAGTTTTTCTATTTTTCAACTTCCCGAATTTTTCAATTTTTAGATTTTGCCATGTTCCGATTTGGATTTCTCGAGTTTTCAGTTTTTAACTTTTCAATATGTGGATTTGCAATTTTTTAATTTTCGTTTCGGTTTTTTATTTTTTTTTTTTCACTTATTCGATCTTTCAATATTCCCATTTTATAATTTCTTGGTTTTTCAATTTTAATTTTTTCAATTTTTTCTTTCAAAATTTTCGCTTTTTAATTTTCTTTGTTTCTTCGTTTTTAGATTCTGCAATTTGTCGTTTCATAATCTCTCGAATTTTCAATTTCTCATTTTTCAAGTTTTAGATTCTTTAATTTTTCATTTCTTCATATTTTCGTTTTGTAATTTTTCCATTTGCAGTTTCACTAGTTTTAAATTTTTAATTTTTCGGTTTTTCATTTCTTCAATTCTTTGATTTTACAATTTTATCCATTTGAAATTTTTCTGGTTTTTTGGTTTTCAATTTTTCCATTTTTCAGATTTCAGATATTTTTATTTCTTCAATTTTTGATTTGCATTTTTTTTAGTTTTCATTTGAAATATGTATCTAATAATGATTTTTAAAATTTTTCACTCATTCAAAAAAAAGACGAAGGATGAAAAGGACGAAGGACGAAAAGGACAAAGGACGAAAAGGACGAAGGACGAAAAGGACGAAGGACGAAAAGGACGAAGGACGAAAAAGACGAAAGATAAAAAGGACGAAGGACGAAAAGGACGAAGGACTAAGGAAGAAAAGGACGAAGGACGGAAGACGAAGGACCAAAAAAGACGAAAGACGAACAGGACAAAGGACGAAAAAGACGAAGGACGAAAAGGATGAAGGACGAAAAGGATGAAGGACGAAAAGGACGAAGGACGGAAAAGACGAAAGACGGAAAGGGTGAAATACGAAAAGGACGAAGGACGAAAAGGACGAAAGACGAAAAAAGACGAAGGACGAGAAGGACGAAAAAAGACGAAGGACGAGAGGAACGAAAATGACGAAGAAGGAAAAGGACGAAGGAGAGTAAAGGACGAAGGACGAAAAGGATGAAGGATGATATTGACTAAGGACGAAAAGGACGAAGGACTAAGGACGAAAAGGACGAAGGACGGAAAAGACGAAAGACGAACAGGACCAAGGACGAACAGGACCAAGGACGAACAGGACCAAGGACGAAAAAGACGAAGGACGAAAAGGATGAAGGACGAAAAGGACGAAGGACGGAAAAGACGAAAAGGACGAAGGAGAGAAAGGACGAAGGACGAAAAGGGAGAAATACGAAAAGGACGAAGGACGAAAAGGACGAAAGACGAAAAAAGACGAAGGACGAGAAGAACGAAAAAAGACGAAGGACGAGAGGAACGAAAATGACGAAGAAGGAAAAGGACGAAGGAGAGTAAAGGACAAAGGACGAAAAGGATGAAGGACGATAATGACTAAGGACGAAAAGGACGAAGGACGAAAAAAGGACGAAGAACGAAAAGGACAAAGGACGAAGGACGAAAAGGACGAAGGACGGAAAAGACGAAGGACCAAAAAAGACGAAAGACGAACAGGACCAAGGACGAAAAGGACGACGGACGAAAAGGACGAATGAAGAAAAAGACGAAGGACGAAACAAGATAAAGGACAAAAAGGACGAAGGACGAAAAATATTAAGGACGAAAGGGACGGAGAAAAGAAAAGGACGAAGGACGAAAAGGACGGACGAAAAAAGGACGAAGGACGAAAAATGGACGAAGGACGAAAAAAGGACGAAGGACGAAAAGGAAGAAGGACGAAAAGGACGAAGGACGAAAAAAACGAAAGACGAACAGGACCAAGGACGAAAAGGACGGAGGACGAAAAAGACGAAGGACGAAAAAAGATGAAGGATGAAAAGGACGAAGGACGAAAAGGACGAAAGACGAAAAGGACGAAGGACGAAAAAAGGACGAAGGACGAAAAAAGGACGAAGGACGAAAAGGACGAAGGACGAAAGAAGACGAAGGATAAACAGGACCAAGGACGAAAAGGACGAAGGACGAAAAGGTCGAAGGACGAAAAGGACGTAGGACGAAAAGGACGTAGGACGTAGACGAAAAAGACTAAGGACGTAGGACGAAAAGGACTAAGGACGAAAAAAGATGAAGAACGAATAGGACCAAGGACGAAAAGGACGACGGACGAAGAACGAAAAGGACGAAGGACAGTTTTTGAGTTTCTGAATTTCTCCTTAATCAATGTTTCACATTTTCGTTTCTTCAGTTCCTTGATTCGCAATTTTTCAGTTTTCCACTTTTTCGATTTTCAGTTGTTTAATGTCTCGATGTTTAATTTTTCAGTACTTTGGTCTTTCAGTGTCACAGTTTTTCAAATTTTACAATTTTGATAATTCTATAATTTTTCGATTTCACAACTTTTGAGTTTCCCATTTTTCTATCAATTCGTTTTTTCTTCATTCTAATTTTTGGATTCACTATTTTTTTCGATTTTTAAGTCTCGATTTTTACTTAGTCAATGTTTCACTTTTTCGTTTCTTCAATTACTTGATTCGCAATTTTCCAATTTTTCGATTTTTCAACTTGTTGAATCTAAAAATTGGAAATCAAGAACTTGAAAAATTGAATAAACGATAAATTGAAAAAGCGATAAACTGCAAACTTTGAAGAAACCGAAATAGTGTAAAATCTAAATATAGACAATTAAAAAAAACAAAACGGAAAATTAGATAACTAAGAAATCCAAAAATGGCATTGAAGTATTTTAAAATTTGAAAATCGAAAAACTGATAAAGCAAAGGTTGAAAATTTGAAGAATTGAATAAGTGACAAATTATAAAATAGAAAGAAAAATTGAAAAAATAAAGGGAATGAAAAACCGAAAAATTATGATATTAAATAGAGAACATCGGAAAAATGAAAAATAAAAATTGAGGCACAGAAAAATCTAAAAATGAAAAACTGTTTTATCGAAAAATTGCAAAATTGAAAAATTGCAAATCGAAAAATTCAAGAAACAAAAACTTGAAAATTTGTAAGTCGAAAAATCGAAAAACTGAAAAAAATTTAAGTTGCAAAAACGAAAAATTATGAAACCCAAAACATTGAAAACTGGTAAAATTGAAAAATTAAAAAAATGAAAAAACAAA